CACAAGGATTCAAAGGGATTCTGAGTAAGAAACGGATCCAAGTGTTAAGTTTCACCGAACATCGAATTAAATGTAGGGTTCCTTTCTCAAATTCAATTTTGAGGCTAGGATTATTATTATGCTTTCAATTCTTATACATATGTTAGATAGTGTTTATACCAAAAACTAATAAGATCAAAGGTTGACACGTGGAAGGGATCCGACAGTCACAAGGGATTCTGTGAGAGTCCACGATTGAAAAAATGGTTAGAAGAGTAGGACTCTTAGAATCCTGAAAAATAAGGAAACATGACATTATGAACCGCTAGTTAAAAACTATTCAACACACATTCACGTATTTCAGGGACAAGGCCATGATCACAAGTAATGACCAGAAAAGATGGATCGACGGTTAAGAGTCATCTTTATAAATAGCAGAAGTCAGGCCACTGAGAAAGAATCCCACTACCAATCACAAAAACTCTGCACAGAGCTAGCCTAACCTTTTTATTTGTTTCTTGCTTCTGAGCAATTTTACTTTTCTTGTAGTCCATCACTCTGATGATCTTTTACTGTTTTCATTTAATGCTAAGTTCAGTATTTAGTTTGCTATCCAGATTCAAATTCAGTGTACTTGTTGCTTTTCTTTCTTGTTGTTTTCCTCATAGTGTCGTTGATACGTTTCTATTTGGTGAAATTATTTAAAGTCCTTGAGCCCCAAGACATAAAAATAAATCTAGAAGTAATCTTACGCCTCGTTACATTGTCTTGAACAATCACAATTTGAGAACCCCACATCAGTTCTAGTAAATAAGGTTGTATGTGTATGGATTTTAAGTCCACCTGAACTTTGGCACGCCCACAATCCAAAAATATGCCAAATATATTTTTTGGCACGCCCAATGGGACCATCAAAGGTACAATATTGTAAACAGTCAAGGTAAATCCAAAATTGGGTCATTTGAAGTGCCTCTAATGCATGAAATTTTGGAAGAAAGAAGTCATGACATCCCTAACCTGTAGAAAGAGTTGCATCCACTTGGAGGGCAAGAAAACTATGAATCTGACTCAAAGCCATAGGTCTCAATCAAGGCTCTGTCGTATGAAGTCTCTCAACAGGTCTCAGGTTTCATCCATGGCTTAGGGGATTTGATTAGAGAGGAATTTGGTCAAACAGACAAGCACTGGAGTGGCTTGCTGATAGTTTGAACCGCCCGGGGGCGTAAGACAACTGTTATTTCCCCTTGTGCAGGCAATTCCAATTGAAGCACCACAACTAGTGCTTCCTTCGTATGTGTCATCTCAAAGGGCATAACAGACCAAGAATGGCCATAAGCAGAACAATAATTCTCTTTTTTAGGAGAAAGTGGTCCCCATATCCCGAGATTGGGGGCAAAAGAGGCAGCCGTCAATCATTCCTCCAGCGGCACCCCAAATGGTCATGAACAAAGACCTACTGAATGAGATCATCCAAGAACATGTTGGCCCTGCTATGAGGAGGGTGATAAGGCTGACATACCGAAAATCTTATCCCGATTTGGTGGATATAAAATATGAGTATCCTTAAAGGTATAAGGTTCCAATGTTGCCACGTTTTTGGGGGAAGACGGTCAGTCGACCGTGGAACACATTAACCGCTTCACTATACTATGTGGTGAGGCCAGAGCTAACGAAATTTTGAAGTTGAGACTATTTGTCAATTCCTTGACAGGAGCGGCCTTCAAGTGGTACATTGATTTTTTGCCCAATTCTGTGATGGGATGGAAACAACTTGAAGACAAGTTTAATGTCAGTTCTACCGCACTGAGCCAGAAGTAGCCATGGCCGATTTGACTAGGTTGTACCAGATGGTCGAGGAATCAGTAGAGCAATATATTATGCAGTTCAAGAAAGCTAAGAACCGATGTAGGTTGGTGTTGCCTGAGATGGAATATGTGTAGATTATACAGAATGGCCTGAGTTTCGAGCTCCAAAAGAAATTTGAAGGGATAGAGTTTAATGACTTATTTGAGCTAGCCACACAGGCTACGCGACATGAGCATATCTTGCATAAAGAGTTGGACTAAAGAAACGCGTCCAAAGGAAATTACTATAGAGACCCCAACAAGGAGGTCTTCATGGTCGAGCCAAACCAAGAGTTGGAGGTGAACATAGTGGAGATCGAGGCGAGACGGCCACACATGTGCAAGGTTTTAACCAAGCCTCAAGAGAATCATGCACATGCCTTGCCAAGTGCTAAGAAATGAATCAGTGATGGAATCAACCAGAAGTATGATTTCGATATTGCAAAGGCAAATCAAAATTTTGACATTGCAACACAGAGGTCTTCATGGTTGAGCCAGACCAAGAGCTGGAGATGAACATGGCGAAGATCATGGCGAGATGGCCACACATGTGTAAGGCTTTAACCAAGCCTCTAGAGAATCATGCACAGTTCGTGCCAAGTGTTGAGAAAGGAATCGGTGACAGAAACGGTCAAAAGTATGATTTCGACATTGCAAAGACCAATCAAATCTTGCGAAGGTCAACCACTATTTGTCCATGTAGGTTCGAGGCTGAGGTTAGTATACTATTCTTAGGAAAGGATAAGTCAATGTTGATACGTCGATACACGTCCTTCCTAAAGTATATAAGTGTTGTGGCCCTACAAATATTGATTTGAGATGATTTGTATTTGTGGTGGGTGGACGAGATAGGTTCGGTATGTAGATTCATGCTAGTCAACTTGCGTACATGAGATATTATGTTATGAATTATGATTTTTTGTGAATGATTCTACTCTACTAAGAAGTTTATTGTTTCGTACCATAAACTTAATATCGTTATTAAATTTCATTGTTTTATCTCAAAATCATATATGTTATTTCATAATTGAGACTTACCGATTTTTATGATTTCTAAATCTTGTATAGGTTTGAGAAGGTTTTCCTATTAGGCTTTATTGCTCACCCTACCATAATATTTTTTAGATTTTGTTGTTAAGGATGATCTAGAGTTAGATAAGCAGGTAGATTGGGATGTTGAGGTGGATCATGACTTGGATCCAAATGTAGTAGTTTAGAGATTAACTTTTAGTTTATGAGTTTTAGATTTGAAGGTTTAATCAAGTTATGGATGTTATTTACTTAGTGTTGGTGAAGTTTGTTTAGATTGGATGTAACCTTAAAGATTTCTTTCTGTTTGATTTTAAGGATTTTATTTAGCTAAATATGGAATGATGAATGTTGGATTTATTTTATGATTATTTTAGTATGCTTTCATGGTTTGATGGATTATAGTTAATTAATGTCTGAATAGGAATTTGGGGTGTTACAACACCTCTACTCCTTCTGACCCTCCTAACCCAAAAGAGAGAAAAGTGGAAGATGACTTTGTTAGTTCTCCACCTTTTTCTCCTTCGGTCTTAGCCAAATTTGTTATTTTGTACTTTTCTCCTAACATCAACAGTTGAGTTTACTAACTTACTTCATGTCCATCAAAAAAGATGGGTGCCTCGCTGCACCTATATTCTTTGGTCATGTTGATTATTCTTGTCTTGGGGGCAAGACAGCACGAATCAATAGCATGTACTTGAAAAAATTAGAAGAAGATACTACATCTGGCTTCCGGTGCATCTTATGGCCTTGGAATCTGTTTCCCTCTTTGATCTTCAACTGACTATAGGATGAACCTCTTCTGCACCCATCTGGAATTGAGAGATGGGGACTAAGGAAGGACCTTGGCTGGGAAGGCTTGTGTTTGAGACTATTCTGTCTCATCCACCCAAGCGTTCCTTCCCTCCTTGCTCCTTTCTTTGTCTCCAACAACTTGTCATCTTCAAACTGGCACAACAACCCTCCAGAAGCAAGCTACTTCGACGCAACACTATGTTTCTTTTATATTTTGCAAATTGTATCCACTGAATTTGAACAAAATTTCATGAAGAAAACTTGCAATGTTAGTCACCCATTTTTATTTCTTTGTTGCATTTCTTACCACTACTGAATGTTCTCCCAGACTGTTGGTCTATAGGCCTTTAAGAATTGCCCGTTGATGGAGCGACTGTGATGCCCTCTATCTAAGTCCCTTAAGTGGTAAATACCACATTTCTTAATTTCTAAGACTTCAAACGGTCCTTCCTAGTTGGCAGACCATTTTTCAAATCTTTGGTTGTTAAATCCTAAAGACAACCTTGCCTTCTAAACTAAGTCACCTGCCCTAACGTCTTTTCTTTAACTCTTCTGTCGTATGATCTTGCAACCCTTAGCTTTTGTAATTTAATGCAATTTAACATGCCCAATTGCACTTCATTTAAGTCTTCAAGCTCTATCATCATGGCTTCATTATATTCAGTTGGACTTAAGTTATGCTGAAAAGTCACTCTTAACGACTTCACAGTGATTTCTAGTGGCAAGACTATATCATGTCTATAGATCAATTTGAATGGCACCACTTTGGTACTAGACTGTTTGGACGTTCTATACGCCCATAATGCTTAACTTGCAATGCCGGCTTCTTGGATTGTCTTCCACCATCTTGACAATGATTTCTTTCATCACTTTCTTGGTAAACTCAACCTGACTGTTTTCCTTGTGCGTAATATGGGGTTGAATGAATGATGTTGAAACCATATTTCTCTGTAAAACCCTTGACTTTCAATTCCTCCAAAGATTGTTCAATAGTCAGCCACTACGTGTTGGGGAAGCCTGAATTGATGCACCATATTCTCCTTTATTATTCAATACCCTAAAAAAAAAAGACATCAATCTGATTGACCGTCCTCATCATAATGACCTTTACCCACTTAATGTAATAGTCAGAAGCCAAGATGATAAAAGATTGGTGTCTTGTAGACAAAAGAAATATCTTCTCAATTAAATCCATGGCTTGTGCTCTAAAAGATTATGACTTTATTAGGGTTTGCATTTGCATTGCTGGCACCCTCTGGATAAATCTATGGCGTTGACACGCCTTTCAACCCCTTTCATATTCGATACAATCTTTGAGGATACTTGACCGATAATAATCATACCTTTTAATAAGCCAACACAAAATATGACATATTCTCTTCTAATACAACTTAATATAGCAAGTCATCATGCATCCCTTTCTTAAAAAAATTTGAGTACAAAAAAGGGTTTGTCCGTTAGAGAGAGGTCTATATCAAATCAAAATAAGGGTTTGGGTAAAGACCAAAGATGATCTAATAAAACATTTACAGTATCTCTCATAATGTTTACCTATTCAAACTTAAAAAAAGAACTTCAGATAATAGCTCATTGGATAAAACTTTAGTTGACTGGTGCAATGCAACAATATATATGTATCATCTCGTGTAGGGCTTCAAGTGATAATGTTCGAATTCGGAACTGAAGGTTCTGGATTCTTCCTCAAGTTTTTTCTTCAACCTTCTCCAAGTTCTCAACATATCAGACTGTATTAAGCCACGATATAGCGTCTCAAAAGTTACCTTCTGAGGAAGGATTCCATTTTCTATCATCTCCACGAAAAACTGGCAAGCCTCTCTCCACTTGTGTTTGTCGCACAGTCCATGAATCAGCAACGTGTATGAATCCAAATCCGGTCCAGCGCTAATGGCCTTCATGTCATCCCAAATTTCTTTCACAATCTCCATACGATTCAACTTCACAAACATCCCCACCAATATGTTGTACGTGTGCATACTTGGCAAAAATGGAGACTCTTCCTTCATTTTCCTATACAACTTCAGAGCATTATCCACATCCTTCCTTCCCCTGTACTCCTTAAAGAAACAGTTATAAGTAGCAGCCGATGGACTAACCCCATTACCCACCATCGCATTTAACAACGCCTCAGCATCTTCAAGCCTCCCACAAGAACAAAGACACTTGACAACGGAGGTATATGTGGCCACAGTTGGGTATATCCCTTTGTCCATCATCTCCTTCAACTTACTAAGTGTTAACTCTGGTTTATGGCTCCGACTATAAACATGAAGCAAAACAGAATAACTAGTCACATCTGGCTCTACCCCTCTCTCCCGCATTTCACCAAACATCTTCTCTGCATCTCTAATTGTCCTCTCGAACCTCTCCTCCGGATGCAAACTAGCCCTCCTACAGATCCCATTTAGCATCACATTGTAAGTAACAACATTGGGCACAATCCCCTTGTTCACCATCTCTTCGAAAAACCTCTCAGCCATTTTCCTTCTATTTGTTTTATAACACCCATATATCAAAATAGTATACATTTGGGCATCCACATGGAAGCTCCATTTCCTTTTATTGAAAATCTCCATAGCCACTTTTGCATATCCATATTTACACAGGGTATCCAAAAGATAACAGAAATCATTCCTCTCCACTTGCTTTTCGGTAAAACATTCCATATCATCAAATGCACGGATGGCTTGGCGGGTAAAGCCGGCGGAAATCAACCTCCGGATCAGAATTAAGAAGGTGGTTGTGGTGGGTTTGATCTTTTTCTGGTCCATTTCAACTATTAATTGCCAAACGACGTCGAACTGGCGAACTTTGCCGAGGATGTCGATGAGGAGGTTGTAAGAAACAGCGTCGTGGTGAAAATAAGGTTGCTGCTTGGTCCAGGTGAAGAAGGAGAGAGCAATTTTGGAAACGTTTTTGAGGCGGAGTAGGGTTTGATGTACGAGGTGTGGTGTGAGGATGATGCCATTGAGTTGAAGAGAAGATTCCATGGTGTGGAATGGGTTGTGGTGTTGAAGAAGGATATGGGAGACTAATTCGGCGTCGTTTGAAGGTTCCAGTGAAGGTAATGACGGTTTTGGGGGCCAATATTGAAAGTCTCCTTCTGGGTCGGAAGAGAGAAGTCGGATTGTGGAGAAATGAGGGAATTGCAGAGTAGTTATGGAGGTGATGATGGGACGAACATGGCCGTATCTCAACGCCATTCAATCCCTCTCTCTCTCACACTCAAATTAGTATCTGAAATGGAAATTTGAATTTCTCCCACTGAAATCTGAATTACTCTGCAGTAGAGAGTACTGCCTGACCAAGAAAACTGGGCAGAGCTGAAATAGGGCCGTTAAACGAGCCCAACCCGATCGAGTTCGGCTCGGGCACAATTTGTTTGTTGTTTGTCCGAGTTTGCTCATATTATAAAATTACAGTTTTACTCGAAACGTTAATAGGGTACGAATCAAAGTCACGCAAATTTAAATGGATCACCTAAAAAATGGTCATTATGCTTAAATACGAAATATTCAAGTGTAGCATTTTGAAATGATTAACCTGTTTAGCCTCCAACCAACCCGTTATTGATCCGTGTAATCCGTTTAATTCCTAAGAGTATTTTCAATCACGTTCAATAAAATAGTTACTTAAAATATATTTAAATATTATATTCACTATTTTAACTATTTATTTTTTAAAATTCACTTCAACCACGCTCTTTACTTTAACTAACTACTTTAATTAACTTTTAATAATATAATTCAAAAATACCGCGTGACGTAACACGCAAGCGCCATATTGATGACATGTCGTGCCACGTTATCAAATTTTAAATTTTATAACAGTCATTGTTTTAACAGTCATATTTGCAACAGTCATACATTATTCAAATGGTATCCAACAAGTGCATACATTTTTTTTTAAAAGATAATTTTATTTCCAAAAAAAATGAATTACAAAAAGCAAAGAACAAGTGGTTCTAAAAAATCTGAAGCCAATGTCACACATCTTCAGCACTAGTCCAGAATGCATGATCACATTAAAAGCTGCTGCCAGAAAACCATATCAATAGATTGCATACCATCAAGATAACCCAGCCTCGAACCAACATGTTTTGTGATTGAAAATCCACTGCCTGCATGCTGCCTTTTTCATTTGAGGAAAAGAGAGGGGAATTGCACTGATTCGACAATATCAGATCCAATGCTTTTGAAACTTCAAAATCAAAACTGCTTTCTTTTGTTACTAGGCCCCGTTTGGCAACGTTTTCGTTTTTCGTTTAATATTTAGAGAAAACAAGAAAAAAAAACTCGTTTGGTAACCGATTTTGTTTTTCGTTTCTGTCACTGTTTTGTAAACGAGGACCGATTTTCAAAAACAAAAAAAGACGTTTTTGGTTTTCGTTTTTCGTTTTTCAAAAACGAAAAACGAAAACGTTACCAAACGGTTTGTCTCTTTTTGCATAAACATAGAAGACGGCAAAGAGTACCCATTTCTAATTACAGACTGCAGCAGCCACTCTGCAACAAAGCACAGACTGCACCAACACAAAGACTGCAGCAACATCCATCAGACCACAACATTAGCTCAGCACAGCAGCCTCAGCACAAAGGAATTAAAGTTCTAAATCCACAGAGATGGCTTTAATCCTTCAAAAGGACTAAAACTAACTAACTTCTGTCAGCTCCCCAAACCTGAAATGCAGAAAAACAGTTACATCCAGTCATCAACCTCAATCACTCCATCACAGCATCAGAATTCACAGAATGCAGCTTCTGGAATTCTGCTTCAGAAAACCCATGTAGCAACAGCACAGCTCCATGCTCAGACAAACAGCAGAATACTGTCTGTCTAAACCAGACCCCAGGCAAAGACTAAAAACAATTCCAAATAGAGTACTGATGTCCCTGTCTATTTTATCATCACTTGCAAACTGCACATAACTTACCTAACCCATAATCACCACATCAATGCATTCCATTAAACAAATATCAGAGAACCAGAATGCCATGCTACTCCTACTCAGTTTGTTTTCATAGTGAACCACTCATAGCATTTACACCCATCAAAGAAACAGGAATATCCATTAGACATTTCTACGATGCAAAATCACAAACATATGATAGTCACTACAAGAAACCAAGTTCTAAAAGATGATGAAAAGTTAATGTACACAAAATCAAGACAACATCCAAAGACCACAACACTTAATTAAGCTAAATATAGTGCGTGCTCACAAACTACAAAAACTGATTAATTGATACAACAGTGATTTTGCGTATGAATTACACAGTAAATGAAGAAGACAAATTAAAGAAATGGAGGGAGGCAGATTACAGTGGAGGTTGTAATGTGAAAAAGTGAAACCACCATTTGTTCAGTTGGCTAGGCTTGGACTCTGTTTGTTGGATTACATTAGCTTGGCTCCCACCATTTTTCTGCTAATAAGAACATCCCAAAATAGTATGTAAAGTCCATTGAGGTCAGACATCAAACACATTGCAAGCAGCTTTAAAAACATAATACAACACACCATTCTACCAAACACCAACACAAACAACATCTACACCCTATGTATAGGCTTTATTTATACATATATCATATATCAGATTGATCATACAGACACAGACAAATCATCTAAGCATTTTACTTGACAAGCCTTATATCTTTTAACACAATACAAGTCCATGAAGATAAAAACAAAAATAAATATTGGAATGTGAATACCCATATTTTAATTGTCTGATTAGCAAAAAAAACATTCGTAACAGTAAATTACAACAAAATTCAAGTCTTCTAACAGGAACAAATCTGCCATAATTCCTGAATTTTCAGAAATTTTTGGAAAGAAAAGAGGGGCAACACAGACTCTCTGTAGGTGTCTGTATATACACAATACTTGTATAGGGCCTTGTTAGAGTGCAGGCTAAACAATGTGGATCTAATCTCCTCCATAGACACTTCCTGGATCAACTGGGCAGCCCCAAAGCCAAGTCACTATGGTATCTCCTACTACAGGTATGGCGTTGGCTAAGCTTGTAATTACTGTAGCCCCCCAAAAGCTCATCTGACCCCAAGGTGGTACGTATCCTATAAAAGCTGTCACAATCATTAATAGGAAGATTACAACTCCGAGACACTGAACAAATTCCCTAGGACTGTTATAACTCGCATGATATAGATCCTAACTAGCCCTAAAACAAACAAAATACTTGTAGTTCTGAAACGTTAATGGTGTATTAGAAACATACCTGTATGCAAATGTTGCTGACGGATTCGCAAAGCTTCGTTGTTGAGGAGAGAGAAGTGAGTGAGAGAGACGACGAGCTTCTTAATTGACGATGTTGGCCACGAACAACCCAAAATTGGCGCAAAACTCTGTTGAAGAACAGACCAAAATTGGGGGAGAGAGCTCTGATGAGAGAGAGTCTGCTAGCCAGGATTGATGAGTGAGAATGGGAGGAGGCAGAGTAGCGAGCATAATGGAGAGCCGTTGGAGCCAAATTTTTTGGACCGGCTCAACAAAATAGCTAAAAGTTGCCTTTTGTTGAGCCGGTTGGAGTTGCTCTAATATAAAAGCAAAACAAATTAAACCAAAAACACTTTCATTTCACACCCCGCCGCTCAAGTGGTCCTCCACTGAATCCACTCCAGCACTCCCCACTCCCCACCACTCACCAGTCGCTCGTTCTTCTTCACTCTAGGCTTCCAGCGACTTCAACCTTCATTCCAGATCAAGCCTTTAGCCCAACCACTCACCATTCCGACCTTCGTTCCAAATCCACTGGTTCAACGACTTCAGCCTTCATTCCAGATCAAGATTCAAGACTTCCTTCAGTCCTTCTCTGGTTCTCTCTGTCTGTCTATCTGCGCATAAAGAGAAGGTTCTCTAATAGTGTAACAGATCATAGTTGTAGCTAACCCATTCCAGTTGCACATTATCAATCTGTTAATTTTTAGGATTAGCATGTTTAACAGTCTATTAATCTACAATAGCTATGGGCTATCACTTGTAAATTCAAACTCTTGTATGTCACTTATAAATACAATCAGTCATACCTACTTATGGGTACAACATTCAACTACATCAAAGTGTTCACCTTCTTTCATGGTATCAGAGCCAACAACATAACCTTTTGCCTCATCTCTTTTTTTTACTGATCACTATGGCATCCTTCATAGACACCACCTCTTCTACAGTCCCAACACAGACACAAAACACCTATTCTACAACTCATCAGCCTACAATTTTTCCACTTACCAACATCACCAATTTTGTCAACGTCAAACTTGAGGGTAACAACTATCTTCTTTGGTGAGATCAACTTGAATCAAACCTCATAAGTACCGACTTTCTTGGCTTCGTCGATGACACTGTTCTTCCACCATCGGCAACAATCACCTCCTCCTCTGGTCAATCTACAACCAATTTGGCATATCTCACTTAGCATAAATTTGATCAATTTATGAAAGCATGTATTAATGTAACATTGACTGAATCCTTGTCTTCACAATTAGTTGGTCTCAAAAACTGCCAAGGAAGCATGGGACACTCTTGACGAGCGTTGTCAACAACAGTCGTCTGCTAGGAAATCCTACCTTTTCAAAGACCTTCAAAGCCTCTCCAGCTATGAAGGCAATGACGGCGAACTTTTCATCTGGGACATCCACCTTTAACGACTCCAAATTAAATCTTTGGACATATGACCTGAGATTTTCTTGTGGTCCCTGTTTTACATTCAAAAGGTGATAGCTCGACTTTTTATAGGTTCGAGCCCCTATGAAGTAGGATACGAAGGAAATGGAAAGCTCTTTGAAGGAAGAGATTGAGGCCGGGGGGAGCCTGTTAAACCACGCCAAGGCTGAACCCTTCAAAGTGATGACAAAGGCTCGACAACATACGAGGTCCTGATACCTGTGCAATTCCATTTGGTTCTTATAAGTATTGAGGTGGTCCATGGGGTCCCTGGTTCTATCAAAGGACTCTATCTGTGGCATCCTGAACTTTGGTGGGAGGAGAAAATGCAACACCCCGGGCGTGAATGGAGATTCAGTCTACTGTACCAAGGCGTCTATTGTAACTGGAGCTTTACTTCTGATCGCTTCCTTCATGTGGCTGAGCTCCTGTTGGATGCTCTTGAAGCGTTGCTCCCAATATTGCTCCCTTCTCTCCTGCTGATAAGGGAAGACATCATTCTTTTCACCTTAATGATTTTGACTTTGTACTTCCTCATTGTGGCCATTCCTAGGGGGTAGTTGGGGATCCTGCCCCAAGGT